AAAAAAAGCATCTGCTGCTTAATCTTTGATGCTCGTTAAGGTCACATTAAGGTCATTTCAATATTTCTGCAACATATTCTCAATATAATTTACTTTGACTGGGAAACCGCTCCATTGTAGCTCTGCTATAGTTTGGGGTTGTTCATCAACCACCTGAGCGGCAGATCGCTGCAGCTCCTCCACAGCTACTATCTGCTCACTTCACCTTGTATTTCGCTATTTTTTCTACTTTCAGACCATAAAGGGGAGCTGCCCAGAGGCTGGAACTGGGTTGACGTGATTAAGGTAGGTGCAGCGTCCTCTTTTATCCACTAGGAGGCACAGTGCATACTTTTTTTTTGTTTTTTAACCCTCCTAAATTAAATTTCTCCTTTCCTGTTTCTTCAAAATGGCTGCCTGACCAACCTCCAGCATGTAAGATCATCACTATTTTTAATTCTTATTAAATTTCCATAGCATCTGTCCAAACCGTGAGGTCTCACTGTTTCCCTCGTGTTTTTGCACAGCTGAGTAAAACGGGAGGAAAGGACGACGACTAAAGCAGAATACGGAGCTACATTGGGGCCATAAATTTTGTTTTACTTTTAATTGAACTTTTGGTTTTAAGTCCAAATATATAAACATAGAGACAATGCTTTTAAGGCATTTAAAGTTTCTAACAGGGAATGTCTTGTCCAGGACTCTACACACATCATCTAAGCCCCGCCCACCACACAAGGGGCCAGCAACGTAAAAATGGGGAGAAAAAAACCAGCTTGAACCTGAATATGTTAAACGTTTCTTTTCTATTTCCAAATATTTTTTTCAGTCATTCATTTTTTTATTATTTTTTTCACCCCAAAAAAATGTTTGTGTTCAAAATTTATAGCCCTAATTTAGCTCCATAGGAGAAGCTAATGCTCCCACACCGATGCCCCTGGTCAGCCGGAGTAACGCGGGACATTCAGCCGGCTGCCGCGAACGCGCCACATGGCCGCCGTCTGTGGCCGCCGTCTGTGGCCGCCGTCTGTGGCCGCCGTCTGTGGCCGCCGTCTGTGGCCGCCGTCTGTGGCCGTCCCTCCTCCATCCAGCTGCGGTTTTATCTGCTCAGACCTGCCGTGTTTTCAGCCCATCAGGACTTTAGCGTTGCCTCTAACCCAGTGTACTGCTGTTACTTTAAGGTGCTGTGACTGTAAAAAAATGCAACAAATTCAACCCTTAATTTTCCTATTTGACTTTAAATTTTCTCAATTCATTGTAAAGGTTTGTATGTAAATAAACTAACATTTTGTCAACTCCTTTTTTAAATTTTTTTACTTATTTTCAAATTGTCTCCACAGGGGAAGTCTATAGATAAATCGATTATTTAGGGAGTGGTGGCCTACTGGTTAGATTATTGCACTTGGCTCCCAGAGGTTCTGAGTTCAAGCCCCACTCCCACAGACTGCCACTCTGGGTCCCTGAGCAAGACCCTTAACCCCACACTTCTCCCTAAGGGGAGGAGCTAAATGCCGAGAGTGAATTTCTCGATTGTTGGACAATAAAGGGGTTTACATTACATTATAAATAATCATAAACACATTAGTTTATCAGTTTAATTAGACGGTGTGTTTCTAACAAAAAGAGCGATTAAAGAACAGACTTATTTTTTAAATTCAGTTGAAATTGAATTACATATTGGAGGCAAAGCAGGGCAGCCATGATCATGCTGCTTTAAAGCAACGCTAAGTACTATTAGCTTAAAGGTATAGAGGACGATCTTTTATTTCCGGATGGATCATTTCAATAAGTGGTCCTCCTAACTGTCAATCATTCTGGTGATATGTTTACGTAAAGCCGTCCTATGTGCTCGTCCTGTTAGCTAACTCTGCGCACTTTCAGGCGTATATCTGTGGGGAGCTACGGTTTCAGACGTCATTGAAGCTCACCGCGGAAGAGTACAAATCTCTACGAAGTGAATCAGAAGAAAAGAAAGGCCTCAGAAGAGGCAGATATATCCCAGAATGCTTTGCACAGAGAGCTCTCCTTGCAAAGCATTATAGGATTTGCTGTTGCTATCAGACAGCGATGACTAATAACAAAGATGGCGCAGGCACCGCATGGCGGAGGAGGAGTTCCTGAACAACGGAGCAAAAACTAGTGATCATCTGTCTGAACGGTCAGTTAACCATAAACCAGTTAGATATAAAGTCCCTGATCTATATAGAGATGGAGGGATGTAGGGTTTAGAGCGGACGTTTGGAAACGGTAAGCTTGTATGACCTATGAGAACAGCAACTTCTAATCAGGAAGTGCCCATGAAGAAATGGGCTTAAGCACGCTTGCACTTTTTTTTTTCCAAAGTGGAGAGGGCGGGTCTTCTAAAAAATCCTCAATAATTAGATTTAATTTAAAATGTATCAAATAATTAGTTTTTTTTTTCAATGCCAGCTCCCAGATCAGCTTCTCTCATTGGTTGATGTCCCCTTCTTGCTTGTGAAGCGCGTCACGCGCCTCAGGAGTTCATGAGGCGCTGCAGATCCTTTAGCTGCACCATGATGCACGTCAACCATAGACGTAAGACGGATGCTTCTGCTGCTCAAAACGCGTCAGGTGTGAACGTAGCATAAGAGAGAGATGCAGCTAGCTCGCAGATCAACGCATGCTAGTTAGAAGTTAGCGCTTTTCAACACTCCATAAAGTCCAACATTAAAGTCGTAGGGAAGCGGCTGTTCCAACCGTTGCATTTCCGAATTCTCCCAAGTGGTGCCCGACTTTACACGAGTGAATAAAGTGAATGTGATTGGTCGATTATCAAGGGGGCGGGATTGTTGTGGCGGAAGTTTTGCAAGCAAGTTTAATGGTGGCCAGTTTGTGGGAAGCATCTTGCTAACCAGTTAGCAACTTAGCGCTAGCAGGTTCCCAATGGGA